CGATCTGCTCAGCATGCAGATTGAATAAATATGGGGACTGGGTGCAATCCCGACACACACCTTTCCCGATTTTAAACCATGAAGTGTGCTCTTGTTTTATTGACCCGACTGCTCCTTGATCCGCGCGCAGGTTCCACATGAGCATAATGCAGCGTTCTGCGATCTCCCGTCTCCTCCAGGCTATCCATAGTTTTGGGGATCCACACAGTCGGATGCTTCGGCACAGTTAACGAAACGCAAGTATTGTTTAAACAACAACAACAAAAATAATGCAGCAGCTTTGTTCTGGCGATGTGCTTGAAATTCAGATGGCTTAGGCTCAGGGGCACACCCTGGCTCTCGCGGATGTTTTTATTCTCTTCAGTTTTATCTGGAACTTCCATTCGAGCCGTTGACGGTCTGTTCCATGGTTGGGGCTGGCCCCGTTTGCGCTGCTGATCTCGAGCCTCTGCACCGTCACTTCCCACAGACACAGTTGCTTTGATTTCTGGGTCTTCCGTCTGGAGAAGACCACGTGCAGGGTCACCTTTTGGTTGTTGAGGAAAGATATTTGCAAAGATGATGAGTTGGGTCTTGCGAAATTCTATCAGTCAAATCTCCAGCATCGTTTCTAGCAGCAAGGCCACATTTTTCCAACCACCGTTCCTTCGTTTTCATTTCCAGTCAGCTCTTCCAATCACCAATTGTGAGCACTGCACTTCGATCACATGTTTGGTCCCTTGCGGACTGAAGACGGTTAAAAAAAAAGTCCAATGTCTGCGTCAGTAGCGTCAGTGGCTCGTGCACATTGGAACGGTATCTGCGTTGTCTGGTTTCCTTGTGTGTGGACAGATGCGACCCCATCCACAGACAGCCGCGCACTTCGCGGTGGAGCCTGAATGTCCTTTGCGATGATGAACGTGATGTCCTTTCCCACAGAGTCTGTTTTATAAGGAGCCGTCCACCCCAGGGAGTCTTTTTCCCCATTGCATCGAGGCTGGAATCTGATTCAGGGGACTGCACGCCCCCCTCCCCCACGACTGGCTGCCCAGAGGGTTGATCGTGTTAGGTGAGATCCCGTCATGGAGTTGATCGCATTGTGTTAGGTCACGTCCCAGGGGATTACTGAGCATCCTGGCCCAGCCCAGTGGACACAAAATCTATCATGCTTCCCTTTCAGAATGAAACACTTCATGCTTGAAGCAGCTGAAACGTCCTCATGCTTTGTGTTAGTCCCAGTAGACTAGAGAAACAAATCCATAGACACTCATGGATGTTTAAATAAGAGGTCTCTATACACCAGCAGTTGAATACTGAGAAAACATCCCAACCCAGTCCAGATCAAGCCCATGAGTCTGATATTAGCCCCTATGTCTGATACCAGTCTATAAAATCCTCTTCAGGCTCACGAAACACATGCAATGACGCCGAATGCAGGAAGATCACAGGCCAGTGATTGGGAAGTCTTGTGGATCCAGTGGCATTGTAAGCATCTCAGCGCTGGCGGGGTCTCCACGTGGCTCCTCCAGCTCAGGGCACTCGTGCAGTTCCATGTCTTGTCAGCTGCAATGTCTCCCAGGGAGTGAGCAGAGAGAGAGTCTCTCACCTCCAAGGAGGAAATCCAGGAGTTCCCAGAATCCTCAGGAGAAGACCATGCTCACACAGAGGCCTCATTGACTATAATCTGATTGACAGGCGAGACTCGACCCCTACACGCTTAATCCTCAAATTGACAAACAATTATATAACTACCCCGTATTTACATCTCATATTTACATCCCTTTGCCTGGTCTTTATCTTTTGACTGTTCTGTCCCAGGAGGAATTACCTAGAATATACTTTGTGCTGGTGAAGGGTCCTTTGCACTTAGGGAACCTGTGTGCCTGGGTTTTTTAGGGGATGGAGTCCATGGGAGAAACACCCTCTGGTGGAGGACGGTGTCGGCTGGCTCCAGCAATTGCCTAGACCTTCATATTTCTTCTCTGAGTGCCTAGATGAATGGGACCAGCAGACAGACAAACACACCAACCGGGCATCGAGACGCTTGGAGGGCAGGGTCTGTTTCTCTCACTCAGGGTATGAGCAAGTGAGTACGTTATCCTTTCTTTTCATTTGGAAGGCACGGGCGTAGAGCCACGGTGCTTTTAGGAACGCGGGGGAAATAACTGAGATCCAGGACAGAACACACGGCAGGAAGCGTTACTTGCCCTCCCATTGTACTGGCAGCTGCAAAACGTGCAGCTCCATCCGTGCCAAACGTTCCTTGGCTGAGTATTCATCCAACAGCCGCTCTGTGCCAGGCGACCGGGGGCTTCTGGCAAACGGATGGGACACAGCCCTGCCCTGTCTGCTGGCAGAAAGTGCACATTCATTCACACGACGGGGGCGCCGTGCTGTGTAGTTGCAGAGAGAGGAGCTTGCTCTCTGCCAGGCTCTGGCTCAGCCATGAGCCCAGTAGCAGGATGAGCAGCACACGCACCCTACCTCCTACGGTCCGGGAGAGTTCACACTCTGGGACATTAATTCATAGAAAACATTTTAAACAGTTTTATTGACATACGCTTCATATATCACTCAGTTCAAGAGTTTCAACATATTTAAAAGAGTTGTGTGATTGTCACTACAGTCAGTTTTAGAACATCTCCTTGGACTCCTCATCGTTAGCTCTGCATTCCCCTCCCACCTCCTCCACCATAACCGCGTGATAGGTAGGCTTATTGTGCCAACCTGGCCAATAGGAACATGTGGGATTAACCAGGCCGCAGACTGATTGGAGGGCAAAGAGGTAAACGGCCCTGCAAGGCCCGCCTCCCTCTCTCTTGCTCTTTGGTGATTGGACCATGCTGGAGAGTGATGCTGCATTAGCTGGTTCTTTGCCTCAACCTGTGAGTTACACAACCTGTGGGCCAAGCCAAACCCGTGGATCATGTTGCTAGAGCTCAAGGCTCCTTCGAGACCTGCTTCACCACGCTGCTGGTGCACCCATTGCTTGAGGTTTGAGGCTGGTGGATCCTGTCCCCTTGCCTTGCTTGCATTCTGATATCCCATCCGGGCCTGCTTTGCTAAGCTCCCAAGCTACTGCCTGTTGGTGTCCCACCCTGATGTTTGCTGCCTGTGGGCAGACTCTGCTTGTCTTGCCCAAGGGAGGACTCCACTGTCTGCTTCTTTGACCTTCGACCGGGCAGCCCACGTGAGTTGAAGGACTTCCGGTATATGAACTGTTCCACGCAAGTGGGTTGAACTGAACCCTCTGTACAGCTGTGCGGACTAATTAGCTGTTATGTTCCCGCTCGATGTATAAACTTATATAAAATACTAAAAACTTAAGTGTCCTGGTTTCGTTTCTCTAGAGAACCCTAACATTCCCCAAGAAATTATTAATCCAGTTATTGTCTCTACAGGTTTTCGCCCATCCTGGATTTCATATCGAGGAAAACGTACAAAGGCAAGCAAACAAAACAAAAAACCCGAACCAATACCAATAACACAATAACACTTAGAAAAGCCTCAGTTGAAAAGATAACAGGAAAAAACCCCAAAACCTAGAACAACTTTAAAACGGGTCAAAAGGAAGAACACATGATACGGTGTTAAATGTGCGCCTAGCGGCACCTGCACCAGTCCGCTTTCCAGTGAATGCTGTCTGACAGCGAGGCTGTTCACATCCCGGGCAATGGTCAGAGGGGATACACCAGAGGCTTCGTCCAAGCGGAGATCCCGCAGACGACTTTTGGATGGTCACTGCCATCCATAGCCGTCTGCAAAGTACGTCCTCAGAATTTAAAACTCGAATGCCATTTCTTCCTCCATTCTTGGATTTTATTATGTACAATCCTTGGATCACACAAGGCTGGTGTGTGCTTCTTTTGTGTGGACTTACTTAGTTGTTACCTCACTTAGATGCCTGCTTATTTGAATACAAGCCTTTGAGACCCCAACCACTGTCTTTCGGATAGCCTGGCACTACCTGATTTCTTCATCACATTTGGGAGATTGATTCTGTTTAGGTGTGGTATGTTGGCCGACAGAAGCCCATGAACGATGGACTGAATACTGACAGCCCAGTCCTGAACCATCATTATGATTGGGTGCAGGTTGGACCATTGTGATCCATGACGTTCCCTTTGGCTAGTTTTGGGACACGCCAGGCTAAGCCTTTCTTTCTAGCTGTCCCAGTGGAATCTTCAGCACCATCGTTGCCTCCGCTGAAGAGATGAGTGGTAACAACAAGTAGAACGTACTGCAGGGCATCGAGCCCAGCTCTCCTACATGAATGGTAAGAATTCTACCCCGGATGGGGATACATGTGAATATCCCAGATGACTTCAACTGCCAGGAGATAGGCGGAAACGATGCTATCTCTGTTTGCAGGGGAAGAAATCAAGGTGTGGGCTTCAATGGTGCCAATTCAGAGTCTCCCCTGTGCAAAGAAAACTTGCCTCAAAATTAATTTTCATCTTCATCCCCCCTCATTAAATAAATAGACGAACTATTGACTGTCAAATAACTCCACGGACCCACTCTCAAATTTAAAAGAAACAAAGCGAAAGGTTGGGCTGCATTCTCCATTTGCATAGAGCACTGAACACTTCTTACCATATCAAGGGAAGCAATGGCTACAAATCAATCAAACCACACAAGTAAACAAGGGAGGGGAAACATGGTCTTGTCTTGAAAGAGCTTCAACCACCCCCCTCCCCGATGGAAAACCAGGCCAAATGGCTGGTGCTTTGGGTAGAACAAAGACAGGATCTGAAATCAGGGGGATGCTGGCTCTCGAACTATTTCGATGTGGACCTTTGCACAAGCCTTGTTCCCTGCACCTCCGTTTTCCTTTCGGTGAAAGGAGATGGGAAGTTGGCCTTCAGTCACTAGGTCCTTCTGGCGCTCAGGGAGAGCTGGCGTGGTTGTTGATCCGGCCACCAGGACTAAATCTTAGCACCATGTGTTGTCCCAGTGACATGCCCCTCCAACGCCCCCAAACACGGTGCCCCCTTCCGCAGCCCCGTGCCCACTCTTACCCATCCCCGCAGGAGCTCGTAGGCAGTGACTCCCAGGGACCACCAATCAACGGGGTAGGAGTACCCGGGGCCTCCGTCCATGTACACCTGGAACACTTCTGGAGCTGCCAACGACAGGGCAAAGAACACGGTGGCACGCCACGGTTTACAGAGACCGCCCTCAGGGCAGACGGACACAGGAGGGCCACAAACAGCGGGACTGTTGGCTGACGTGGACTTGTGGGGAAATGGATGGAAATGATCCACGATGAGTTACGTGGGGAGGGACTGGACAAGGAGAAAGGAGGCGCAAAGAAGACTGTGGCTGTGGGGTTGGCGAAGACCCCCGCGTATGCTAGAAGATTGGACACACCAGTTCCGGAGGAAGAGCGCTATAATGTTCCTAGACCGGTCAGATGGTGTCTGGTCTACTTTGGACACCGTGTCAGGGGGACCAGTCCCCGGAGAAAGACATCATGTTTGGTCAAGACAGTCAGCGAGAGCGCGGGAGAGAGTCGATCAGATAGACTGCCTCAGGGGCTGCAGCAGTGGGTGCAAACACAGCGTCTTCGGTCTCCAGAGCCACGGTAACAGAAATTCCACCAGTGGGTGGCCTCAGCAAACACAAATGTATTTCCTCACAGGCAGAAATTCGGGGTGCTGGCTCTCGAGGAAGGTTTCACAGCTCCGCAGTAAAGCCCTTGCCTTTTTAAAAGGTCTGCTTCCAGTGCTTGGCATCTCTCTGCCCCCTTCTCTGCTCCTGCTGCTGGCTGGTGTAATCTCTTTTATGTCTCCAAGGAGATAGATTCAGGGCACTAATCTCTGCCTCATTTGCATAACAAAACAACACTGTCTCAAATGGGATTATAACCCACAGGCATCCAGGCTGAGATTGGCAACGTGAACTTCAGTGAGACACCCTCCACTCCGTCACAGAGAGCAAGGATTGTGAAGATGGTGACCGATTGGGGAATGTTTCATTTGGTTATGGGTAAGGTTGCTAGAGAAGCCCTAGTGGGGTAGTGGACTACACACTGAGCTGCTAGCCACGTGTCTGTGGGTTCGAACCCATCAGCTGCTGCACAAGAGAAGGATGAGGCTGCCTATGCCCAAGCCCAAAGGGGCAGTTCTAGTTAGTCCTACAGGGTGACCATGAGGTGGAATCGACCCAGTGGCAGCGAATGAGTGAAGGTTGCTGCGAGAGTTAGGCTTTCTGTGTCAACATGGCACCTGTAAGAAGATGTGGGCAGAGTTTACCTGTCCATCAGGTGATGTCCCTTGGAGGTGTGGCCTGATATATATAATGACCCTGTGGAGGCTGACCTCTTCCTCGCTCTCTATCTTTCCCTTCCTAATTGCTGGGCACCCTGAGAGCTGCTGGAACCCTGTTATGTTACCACTCAACCTGGGGTCCATGCATCCACCGGCCTGTGATCTTCCTGCATTTGGCATCACTGCATGTGGCTGTGTGAATCTGAAGAGGGACTTATGGGCTAGTATCGGACTTATGGACTTGAATTAGACTGCAATGGGATGTTATCTTGATATATAATGGCTTTTTGACATAAAGCTCTTTCATATATATGAGAGTCACTGGATTTGTTTCTCTAGTCAACCCAACCTAATACAGTTGCGATGACAACCTAATACAGTTGCGATGACGTGATGCCGGCTATTAACAGCTGGAAAAGTGTATTCTCTGTTTGTGGGGTTTTCTTTCCCATGTGGAGATCCTCCCTCTCCCCTCCATGAAGTCAACCTCTTGACACCCCTTCAGTCATTTCTTCCCAGGAAGACCACACTTCTTCCCAGGAAGATGACCACCAGCCTTGGTCCAGGCCACTTGGGTCCACCCATCTGGACTTGAATGCCAAGCCTGTCTCCCTCCTATCTGTAACCTTTGGCCCTGAGACCCTCAGACCTGACCCCTGTCCTGCTTTGAGCACCCTTCTTCATTGGCTGTGCTTCAGCTTCTTCCCCGGCATTGCTGCCCCTGTCCAGCTCCGTTAGACAAGACAACTCTCAGTCATGGTCCTGTGACCTTTTACCGGAGCCCCTGCAGTCTAGTCTGTCCTCTGTGTGTTTTCAGCCCTTCCTTGCTGGAATCCAAGCATCTTGGAGGAAAAGAGGCATTTGATAGGTGCCTTGGGGGAACAGATGAGATTTCCATCAACAGGATCTGTTTCTGGAATTGTGCGGCTACAGACAAATGGTGGGATTCCCATTGGTTGTGGACTAAAGTGTGCCGAGGAGCCCTGGTGGCATTGTGGTTATGCATTAGGCTGCTAGCTGCAAGCTAAGCAGTTCAGAACCACCTGCCTCTCCATGGGAGAAAGACAGGGCTTTGTACTCCCACAAGAGTTACAGTCTAGGAAACTCATGAGGGGGTGACGCTTGTATCCTGTCCTACAGACTCTCTATGAGGCAACATCAACTCGATCGACAGCAGTGAGGGTTTTTGTTGTTGTTTTTTAAGGTGTGCCTGGCCGAAGGCGTGGAATTTTCAACGGCCTTACTTGACTGTGAAAATTGGACAATCAAGAACGAAGCAGAAGAGGACTTGATGCCTTTGAGTGACAATGTTGGGGAAGAATGTTAACTACGTCGTGAACTGCCAGAAGGATGGACAAATCTGTCTTAGAGAAAGCACAGCCAGAATACTGCTTACACGGGAGGGTAGTGAGACCTGGTCTCACTTACTCTGAACATAAGCCACCAGGAAGGATCGCCCTGGAGAAGGACGTCATGCTTGTAAAGTTGAGGGTCATTTTAAAAGGAAACAATTAACAAGAAATAGGAGTCCAGGTGGCATAGTGGTTAAGAGTTGGGCTGCCAACTGTGGGGTCAGCAGTTTGAAACCACCAGCTGCTCTGAGGGAGAAAGATGGGCTTTCTTCTCCTGTGAAAGGTTATGGTCTTAGAAACGCACAGGGACCAGTCTTGCTGTCCTATAAGGTCACTGTGAGTCGGAAGCACCCCAATGACAGTAAATATGGAGTGAGCTCAACAAGATTGATTTATCCCAGGGATCACAACATAGCAGTAATTGTGAGGGTGGCCTAGGACAGGGAAACGTTTGTACTACAGGCTATTGGGCAGTTGTGAGTCAGAATGGACTCAGTGCTATCCAACAACAACAAACAGATGGAAGAAATCAATGAGAAGAAATACAGCCAAGAAATCCTTAAAAGAGAAGATGGTAAGATTCAACTCACTCACTTCGGACACACTATCAGGGAAGACCACTCATCAGGAAATGAGATGATGTTTCCTGAAGGAGGTCAGCCAAAATTAAGGAAACCCCTTTATGGTGGTTGGCATCGTACACCCACCAGTAGATTCAAGCATCATCCAGATGGTGCAGGGCCAGGAAGGGGTTTATTCCATTATTACTTAAGGTCAGTACGAGAGAGTTATCCCTGCTTCTCCTAGCTACATGGTTCTCCCACAAAACCAGTGAGTGCTTAAGATGATGGGATTTATCAGGAAGTTGACGATGACAATTCAGGCGAGACATGTTCAGGATACAGCTGTTCAGTCCCAACAGTTTCTTCTCTGCTGTGCTCTTGTAGGGCTGCCAACAAATGTCGGAAGGGCATGAAAATCCACGGTAAGCCTCAGGCTGAAGGCATTCAGCTTCAGTTCTGTGGGTCAGCCAACCCAGCTCCCCCAATCAAGTGCCCAGGGGCATCTCACTCCACACGCCAGTCTCCTGCCTAAAACACGCAGCTTTACTTGTTCAATGACCTGGGAAGCCCGCCTCTCTGTCCCACGCTCTGGCTCCTGGGTCTGCTGTTGCTGCTACTCTGTCACTCTGGTGCAACAGTTAGTTCCTGTTTTAGGGAGATTTAATACACAGGGATCTCGGGGTCCAAAGGATATGCTCCACTCCTGCCTCTTTTATCTTGCTATCAGACCCCCCTCTTGCTTCTAAGATGGCTCATTTCATATTTAGCAGGATGGCAATCACAATGAATCCTTTCCATAAGCACTCCACTGAATCATATCATCTGATCATCATCTCTCCTCCGCCTCCAATCTTCTGACATGGATTCATCAGGAAAGAGATCGTTGGTGGGACAGCACAGGCCATGGCTTGGAAACCCATATGAAGTACATCTCTGCACGGTTGTTATTTTCATGAGGTGTGTATGAGTTGGTTCTGACTCACAGGGACCCCGCATTCAGTAGAACAAGCACTGCCTGGTCCTGAGCCACCCTTGCCCTTGTTCTCACATTGGAGCCACTTGCAGCCCCGGTGTTGACCCACCTCCTTGAGGGCCCTCCTCTTTTTCACTGCTCCTGCACTTGACCCAGCATGACGTCCTTCTCCAGGGACTGGTCTCTCCTGATAGCGTTTCCAGAGCATGTGAGACCAAGTCTCCCCATCTGTGCTTCCAAGGAGCATCTGGCTGTACTTCTTCCAAGACAGATAGGGCTGTTCTCTCGGCAACCCATTGCATGCACGCTATTCTTTGTCAGCACCGTAGTTCAAATGCATCTATTTTACTTTGGTTTTCCTTATTCGATGTCCAATTTTCCCATGCGGATGAGGTGATTAAAAATACCAAGGCTTGAGTTGGGTGCTAGTTATTAAAGTACCGCCAAAGTAACACCCTTGTTTTCAACACTCTGAGGAAGTCTTGTGCAGGAGGGTTACCCAGTATAAGGCCTCCTTTGGTCTCTTGACCAGTGCTTCCATGAGCACTGATTGTGGATCCAAGCAAGAGGAAATCCTTACAACCTCAGCCATTGATCACACGGTTATTTACTGGTCCAGAGGTGAGGACGTTGGTCTTTACACTGACTTGCGAGTCACATGGAAGGCTGAAGTCCTTGATCTTGTCTCCTTCCCTTTCAGCAGGCAAGGTTGGGTCATCTGCATACCATAGGTTGTTAATAAGCCTTCCTCCAATCCTGATGCTACACGCTCCTTCATATAGTCCAGCTTCCCTGAGGATTTGCTCAGCACGCTGATTGAGGAAGTATGAGGAGAGGATACAGCTCAGATGCACACCTGTCTGTGAGTCACAGTCACACAGAGGCCAAATCCATCCCCATCATCTATCTCACCCCACGTAGGGCAGAGGAGAACACTTCCCTGGGGTTTTCTGGGCTGAATCTGG